CGTGTCGAATTTGGGTGCGAGATGGTCATCTCTTGGTTGCAATAAGGTCGGTTGGGCATCGTTTGGTCGCAAATGTCTCGTCTCATATTTTCCAGTTGGGTGCAGCAACGAGTGCCTTTTATATACGTACTATTCTAAAGGAATTAAAATACAGAACTTCTTTCCACAGTGCGAAAATCCGACCCGTCTGTTTCTGGCTAAATCAGTTCATTTTGAACACCGACTCCGAAGCGAACCGGAGGTCAATGACTGTTGGGTAAGAGCCTGCCAATGGGCCCCAAGGACCTTTTCGCAAGTGTCGAGTCGACAATGTTGAAGGTACGATAATTTGACTTGGTTACACTATTGGGACCAATCACATCGAGTGAAGGCGCGTGTCTTTTCAGGTTATTGTGTATTGTGCATGTAGAATCCAGCTAAAACCTCCTTTGAATTTATTTCTCACTTTTACTTCTACCTTCTGCCGAGCAAGTGCCCAACCAACAGGATTTGAGCCCAATGGTCAAAAACTCAGATGCAGACGCTGCTACGGAGGCAGTCCTGCCTCCCCCGCCGCCCACGAAAGGGGCGAAGAGCAGAAGGTCACGCAGATCGCTGGAGCGCTCGCAGCTCTCATCACCAAGCTCACAGCCAAAGTGCCGAAGTAACAGCTCAACAGACGCCGCAGCAGCAACAACCGGCTGCGCAGAACCAAGCACATCGGCCTTCGCTGCTGCACCTCAACGAGAGAGTGCCACCTGCCAAGGATGCCAAGATCTTCATGCGAAACTTCGACGGCAGCGAGGTCTACATGGGACTTGGTAGCGGCTTCGAGCAGTGGGCGCTGCTGTTCATTGAGCAGATCAAGATGGCGGAGCAGGCGTGTGGCTACGCCTGGCCTGAGCGCTACAAGGTGATCAGGTTCGGCCAGCATCTACGTGGTAAAACGGAGCTCTTCTCCAAGCAGCACATCATGCGCTGGTGGGCCACGCAGCCGATGCTCTGATTTGTGGTGGAGCAGATGCACTTGTCGCTCAAGCGGGTGCTCTCGAGGCAGCAAGGAATGAAGCTCTTCGGCGCGAAAAAGGACCCGTCGCGATCGTGGAATGAGCACTTCTCGTACTTGAATGCTCTCATGATGGCAACAAACGCGTCACCAACGCTAGTGCTGGAGAGCATCGTCAAGTACGCTGACCCGGACTTGAGGCACGCCTTGGTGGTTAAGTTTGACATCACGCGGCCGGATCCTCTCCAACAAGCGAGCGAACTGGCCGTTTGATGACCGATGAGGATCGAGCGCCAAAGAACCTTGGTAAGGAAGTCGTGAACGCAGTGGCTGAGTCCCAAGAAGAAACGTGGCGATGCCAGAACTGCAAGAAAGTTGGACACCTGAAGAAGAACTGCCTGGATCGTTCCGCTGGGAGCAGCAAGAACCAGCCAGTAAAGGTCGCACTTGCTGCCGTTCAAGTCCGTGGACGCTACGAGCTGAACTCTGGACAGCGGCGTCAGCCGACATCTTGCCAATGATTCTGCGCTACTGGCTAACGTAGTGCAGTGCTCTGGTGAGGACACATGCATGTTACCGGATGATCGAACGATGGACGTAGCCAAGAAAGGATCGGTGGATTTTCGAGCTATTGTCGACGGAGTCGCGGCTGAGGTGGAGCTCAGTGAAGTCTACTACGTGCCGAAACTCGCGCGGAATCTGATTTCTTATGGACGGCTGATAGCGAAGGGATGCTCTCTCACCAAGCGCAACGGAAAGTTGGCGTTGATGAAAATCAACGAAGTGGTATTCTTTGTCGACGTGAATCACCACGTGCCTGTGGCTTAACTTGAATCGGTAGATACAAACAATGCGGAGATGGACCAACGTGGTGGACACGAGTACAGACACAGCCTCGCCGGTCGTCGCCACGGACACGATGATGGGCTTCCATGCATGTCTCGGTCACTTGGCATTGGACACCATTGGACGTATGGCAAATGACCCCGCATCCGGTATCAAGATATCGAATCGTGACCGCAAGCCTTGTATGGTTTGTGCTGAGGGTAAACAGACTCGAGCGAGCACAGCCGACTAAAGATACCGGAGATCACGCCGATCAATAAAGTCGAAGGAGTCATCGGCAGTGACCTCAAGGGTCCCATGACGCCACTTAACCGCCAATGTAACCGCTACATGGTTAACTTCGTGGACCACAAGTCGAACTACTGCAACGTGTTCATGGCAAAGAAGAAGAACCTGGGTGCAAAAAAGTTCGAGGACTTTCTTGTCAAGTTCGAAAAACGGCTCGACGTTCGTGTGCATGTTCTTCGCACGGACGGTGGAGGAGAGTACCGAAGCGTGGATCGCTTCTGCAAAGAAAACGGAGAGGCTCGTCAGGTGTCAGAAGTCGAGAATCAAGCTGCAAACGGTAAGGAGGAGCGGGTGCATCGCACGGCTCTCAACCTGGCTCAGTGCATGGTGTTCGGTGCAGGATTACCGCTGAGCTTCTGGGGTGACGCGGCTTAATACGCGACGTACGTGCTGAATCGGAGCTCGTCACGCCCTAACGAGGCTCGTAAGTCGCCGCTCGAAGTGCTGACTGGCGAAGTACCAAACCTTCGCGACATTGTCATGCTTGAATCAAAGGGCTCCGTGTTTCGTGACCCTGGAAACCGCGCCATGAAGAAGAGAACGTGTGAGGGCGTCGTCGTCGGCAAGGACGAATCGACCAAGGGGTACAAGATGTATCTGCCTTCGGAGAACAAGGTGATCGTCACGAGGCATGTGCAGGACATCCGCGCGTTGGATGAGAACTCAGATGTGAAGACACCGACTGCTCTAGCTCCCACGACGACGACACCACCGGCACCACGCTCCACAATACGAAGATTCCGTCGCTCACGCCGCAAGTCGCGCCGCCGTGCTGAAGCTGATGGAGACGTGGAGGTTGACGAGTCGAGGCTGAACACTGAGCCTGTAACTTTGACCGTATCCGAAATTGAGGATGTTAATTTTTACACTGATGACCCGGAACCGAAGAGCTACAGGCAGGCGCGGAGAGCGCGCCTTGGGCTGCAGCTGATAAGGAAGAGCTTGAAGCTCTACAGGCGAATAGCACGTGAAAGCTGGCCAAGTTCGAGCCCGGCAGCGTTCGCTTGCATACCAAGCGGGTGTATAAGAAGAAGCGAAGAGGCACGGGTTTGATCGAGCGGTACAAGACTCGACAGTTGCCTGTGGCAACGAGCAAAAGCTCGGCGCTAACTTTTTTCTCGTGTTTGCTGCTGTAATTTCCTGACTGGTGTCAAGTTCATCTTCGTCATTGCGATCATATGGAAGGTGCCTGTCAGACATGGCGACGTTCCAAACGCGTATGTGAAGGCGAAAACGGAGGAGGGTATATAAATTGTGCTGCTCGTCCCCGACGGACTCGTTATCACGGAGGAAGAGCTAAAACCTCTCGGAGCTGAGAGCGTGGATGAAGTTGGTCTACTTCTTGGTCAGAGCCTTTACGGTCTAACACAACCAGGACGCCTTTGATATGAGCACCTTCATGGCGAACTGGTCAAGCTTGGGTTCATCCAGTGCATTACGGACGCTAGTCTGTACTTCAAGACTGTCAGCAACGGAATGGTGGTCGTCGGAACGTACGTGGATGACCTGCTGGTTACTGGCACGGACGAGAACAGGGTTTCCCAGTTCTTTGTTGACATGTCCGTCCTGGAGCTCAAGGATCTCGGTGCTGCCAGCCATTTTACTTGGAACGCGTGCAGTACGACGAGCTCAGTGGTTACAGGTTTGACCAAGAGGCCGCAATCGTCGAGATGCTCACCAAGTTTGGATTGGACAAAGCAAATTCGGTGCGATCGCCGATTGGAGGAGAAGACGCGGCAGAGTCAGATTTGGCAGAACTACTTCCACACGCGGCTAAGGATATCGCGTCAGCAGGGCCGACGGTGACAAATTTCCAGTCACAGGTGGGGAGTTGCTGTGGATTGCGAGATGCACGCGTCCAGACATTATGCTCGCTGTACACTGTGCAACGCGACGGACTCATGCACCAACGATGGCGGATTGGAAGCTGGATAAACGCATCGCCAGGTACCAGAGTGGCACCCGATCGCACAAGATGGATATGTCTGGCGACGACAATGCTAAAAGGCTACCACTACGATTGCGCTCGTATACGGACGCCGACTTTGCTGCCGACAAGAGCGACCGCAAGTCTGTGAGCGCGGCAATCATCCAAGTAAACGGAATGACGGTGTCATGGCAGTGCAAGAAGCAGAGTTTCGTGGCACTATCGACGACCGAGGCGGAGTACATCGCTGCGGAGGTGGGTGCTCAAGAGCTACTCGGGATGATGGAGCTATTGGGTGAGCTGGATATCGCCACCGAGCTACATCTGGCCATGCTGATGGATAACCAAGCGGCTATCGTGCAAGTGCAGAGCAAAACGAGCTCGGCCAAGGCGAAGCACGTGGACGTCAAGCTTAAGTTTATTCAAGATGGCGTCGTGGTGCCAGAGTATGTGGCTAGCGCGGAAATGCTTGCCGACCTGCTGACGAAGGTGCTGCCGGCGCCACGGGTGAAGGAGCTACGAGAGAAGATCGGACTCGTCGACATCGAGTACTTCAGGAACCTCGATGCTCTGGGGAGGAGTATTGGACATTGATGTAAGAGCCAGCCAAAATGGCAGGCGACCGAAAGCCAGACCCCCAAGGGCCTTTACGAAAGTTTCGAGTCGACAATGTTGAAGGTACGATAATTTGACTTGGTTACACTATTGGGACCAATCAGATCGAGTGTAGGCGCGTGTCTTTTCAGGCTATTGTGTATTGTGCATGTAGAATCCAACTAAAACCTCCTTTGAATTATTTTCTCACTTTTACTTCTACCTTCTGCTGAGCCCCAGCTAAGCCGATCAGCAGCGATATCTACTGAGATAAGATGTTCATTCTCGTTTAAGTACGAATCGCACAGATTTTCGCCGAACTGTTCAACAATTAAAAAAAATGTTGGAGTGTGGTGAGGCTCATAGCGTCGCTACTAAATTCGGAGAGCACGCGCCTCGCCACTGATGAAAGTCCAGAATTGCCGCGGCGATCGGCAGTGCCAGCGGCGCTGGCTCTACAAAAAAACAATTCTCAGCTCGGTGGGGCATTTGTACGGTTTGCCCCATCGAAAAAGCCCTGCCATGTGGCGTGATCATCTCTGGCAAATGCATCCATCCACTCACTGGCAGTGCTACTGACACTGCATCCAGATTAATTCCATGGCGGCTAAACGACTTAAGATAACTCCTCGCTGGCATAAAACTGTCTGTACTGTTAATATATTATAACACCTTCACCATGGCGACAGGCCGATTCACCTTGTGGCTGCGTCATATTGGAAATAATAATTAACTCGGCGCAGACGAGCGCTCGCCACCGTGTGGAGCAGGGCGAAAATCCATCCCCTACAACGACGCTTTCGCAACCCCAAAGCAGCCTGCTTTCCACGAAGATTGCAGCTTGTAATCTAGCATTCGGCAATGCGCTTTTAAATACCAATAAACACCTGCCCGGTACTGTAGTAGTCGCACAGCGGAGCCATCACGAGCGGATCTGGTCGCGTCTGGTGCCGAACTTTGGGCTTTTCGTTGTAAGTCGAGCGTGTATTGGTTGAAATTGTGAGGTGTAGGGTAAAATCGTTGTCTGATTGTGTTGCACCAAGGGTAGGTTTTTGCCTATCCCTGCTGGCTTACTGCTCGAGTCAAATCGTAGCGCGTCCCCAGTGCGGCGTTGAGCTTCCCTTCACGTTAGAACGAACGTGCTCTCTGTGTGCCTTCGCGAGTGACTTGCGGACGTCGACAGGTAGGCTCTGAATCCCCTTGCGCCGGGTCCTTAAACGCGCCAACCTCCGTCTCCTGACGCCGACCAGGACGTTCTGAGGGACCTGCCCCACCTTCGTCGACAGCCATGGAAGTCGGTGCCCCCGTGTGGGTCTTCGACCGTGAATTGTGGCACGAGGCGGTCGTTGCCGCTCCCGTAGACGCGTCTTCGGGTCTCGTGGAATGCGCTATCGAACCAGAGCCTAATGACGAGCATCTTGTGACCCCCGAGGGAGACGACGTCGTCCCCGACGCGCAGGACTTCCAGACGCCGCGTAAACGTCGTAATTCGCGACGTAACTCGATGCGACGGACAGTTTCCATTCAAACAGAGCTCGTACTACCGCGTAACCAGGGAGAACACTACCACACCGTACAGGACTTGACCAAACTCGTACATCTACACGAACCCGCGATTCTACAGGTGCTGAGACGACGGTTCTTCCATGGAGAGATTTACACCAGTACAGGTCAAATTTTGGTGGCCATGAACCCGTTCAGACGTCTGTCATTATACTCGGACGACATCAAGGACCAGTACTATGATCTAGGTGGGAATGCGCAGGCTGACAAGAGTACTATAGCTCCGCACGTGTACTCCGTCGCAGATCAAGCATTCCGGACCATGTTGGTGCCACGATCAGGCGACAAGAAGACGGATCAGACTATCCTTGTGAGCGGTGAGAGCGGTGCCGGGAAGACGGAGACCACCAAGCTCATCATGAACTACTTGGCCTACGTCTCCACTAAGCGCACGCGTCGTTCGATTCGAGCGAGCAATTGCGACCAGACGACTATTCACGACCGGGTGCTGGAGTCCAACCCCATTCTGGAGGCATTTGGCAATGCTCGGACCACGAGAAATAACAATTCCAGTCGCTTCGGTAAGTTCATCAAGCTGGGCTTCACCTCTTCAGGCGAGATGCTGGGCGCTTCGATCTCCACGTACCTTTTGGAACGCGTGCGTCTCGTGTCACAGGGCAAAGGGGAACGCAACTACCATGTTTTCTACGAAATGTGTCGCGGTAGTTCTGCGTCGGAACGTGAGGAACTGGTACTATTGGACCTACCTGAATACGCGTATTTAAATCAATCCGAGTGCTACGAACGTCTGGACGGTGTGGTTGATGCCGAGTCGTACCAGGTGACGCGACGAGCCATGTCTAGTATTGGCATGAGCTCTGACGAACAGCTCAACGTGATGAAGATCGTCTCTGCGGTGCTGCACTTGGGTAACTTGTGCTTTACGACAGCTACACGCAACGGTGGCAAGGATGACGCCTCTGTGGTGGATATGGACGAATGTGGTGCGAACATCCGCGCCATTTGCTCGCTTCTTGGCGTGGAGGAGGACGTGCTATGCAGTACTCTGTGCACGAAGAAAATTAAGGCAGGTGCAGAGTTCATTACGACTCGTCTGCCTGTCGCACAGGCGCTCTCGACGCGAGACTCAGTTGTTAAGACCCTGTACTCGAATCTATTTAACTGGCTCGTGGACCGCATTAACCGGAGTATCGAGTACAAGGAAGAAGCTGGAGGCAGTCAGTTCATCGGTGTGGTTGATATCTTCGGCTTTGAGATTTTTGAGCAGAACCGTCTGGAGCAGTTGTGTATCAACTATGCGAACGAGAAGCTCCAACAATTGTTCGGCAGGTTCGTGTTCCGTATGGAGCAGGATCAGTACGTAGCGGAAGAAATTCCCTGGAAGTTCGTCGACTATCCGAACAACGACGTCTGTGTGGCTCTTGTAGAGAAGCGACATACCGGTATCTTCTCTCTGTTGGACGAGCAATGTCTGATCCCTCGCGGTAACGACGAGAAGCTGGCGAACAAGTACTACGAACTACTAGCAGGCAAGCACGAGAGCTTCTCAGTGACCAAACTGCAGCGAGCCAAGGGCCAGTTTGTGATTCATCACTATGCTGGCAACGTGTGCTACATGACGGATGGCTTTTGTGACAAGAACAAAGACCACATGCACACTGAGGCTGTGGATCTCCTGCGTACGTCCAAGTTCTCGTTTGTGCGTGCATGCTTCGAGAACAGTGTCAATGCTGCTGGTAACTCGAGTCCACGAAATGGTCGGACGGAGTCTCGTGGCAGTGATGGCACTCGTCGTCGATCTGGCGGCATCATGTCGTCTACAGTCGTGGCGCAATTCAAGAGTCAGCTCAGCTCGCTTCTGGAAGTGTTGAATGCAACGGAGCCTCACTTTATTCGCTGCATCAAACCCAACGACCAAGCCAGCGCTTCTCAGTTCGAACGAAAACGTCTCCTGGAACAGCTGCGCTGCAGTGGTGTACTGGAAGCCGTCAAGATCTCTCGGAGTGGCTACCCTGTGCGTTTTCCTCATGAAGTATTTATCAAAACGTACAGCTGCATCTTGTCCCAGGTACCAAGTGCCCAAGGACAAGTGGAGAAAGAAGTGGCGCTGCAGATGGTGGACAAGTTGGCTACAAAGCTTCAAGTGGTGACGGGTGCCAAGCACCCTCCGTTCCAAGTGGGCAAGACGAAGGTTTTCTGCGTTCTTGAAGCTCATCAAGCGCTGGAAGCTGCTCGATCAAAGGCTCTGTACAAATCTGTGATCACCTTGCAGCGATACTGTCTCGGGTACACGATGCGTGCGCGCTATCAACGTAGGCGTCGATCGAGTGTTCGCATCCAAGCGATGTGGCGCTCGTGGTATTGCTGGCATCGATATCAACGCATTGTTCGTCGTCAACGCGCCGCTGTGAAGTTACAGAGCACAACTCGAGGATTCCTGGCGAGGAAGCAACTCAAGCGCATTCATGCAGTCACTGTGATCCAATCTTTCGTGCGTGGATGGCTGGTTCGACGCGAGTATTCTGCCAACACATTGAGCTTCGAACATGACGTGTCTTACGTGGGATCTCTGGATGAACGTAGCACCACGGCAAGCTCGATTTCACTCGCCGAGTCGATTTCTAAGGACCGGAAGAACACGACGATCTCGTTCCAGAGCTCCGTGTCCACGAGTGACTACTCAGATACGGACGGGAGTATCAGTATCAGAAGCAGCTCTCGCATCTCGAGGAAGAAGATGATCGAAGAGTACGAGCCGCCCACACAGATCCAGAACGAGTACGAGATCGTCTGGGAGTGCGGACTGTTGGGTCTGTACTTCGAAAGTGACCCTATCTCCAGTTTGCCTATTGTGCGTCGAGTCCACGAGAGTTTGAGTAACTGCGCCGACATCTTTGAAGTCTCGCGCGGTGACGTTCTGCTTGCCGTGGGAAAGGTGAAGGTGAAAAAGGGAGACATCCGTCGCATTTTGACTCTTCTTCAAGAAGTCCAGAAGCCTGTGCGTCTTCATTTCCTCCGCAATCCGACCGAGTCATTCCGACTTCGATCAGGATCTCTAGAACTTCTGGGAGAAGAGGATTACGAAGTATTGTGGAAAGAAGGAGTACCTCTCGGTCTTGGCTTCCGTCCGGACCCAAGCACTGGATACCCGTGCGTGTTGCAGTCTCAAGGCAACCAGCTTTTACCTGGCATGTTCAACGTGCGAGCGGGCGATCATCTGGTCTTCATTAACGAGTTTTCGACACAAGGTGTGCGCTTCCAGAAGGTCATTGACATCTTGGAAAGTGGCCCTCGACCAGCCGTGCTGCGCTTCCGTCACACGGACCTTGTGGAAGACCCACAACATCAACTTGACCAGACGATGTCTCTGGACAGCTCGGTCCTGTCGAACCCGCAAGACGATTCTCACTCCATGGGGATGTCACGCATGACGCGTCCGTCCCGTGTGAGTATGAACCCAAAGAATGATCACTCACTGTACTACATCACGTGGAAAGAAGAGGACGGTCCGTTGGGTATCGTCGTCAAGCAGGAAAGCACGAGCTATTACCCTCGTGTGATCAACGTCAAGAGCGAGGGAGCTGTGACGAGAGAGTCGCAGAAGAACCGCGTGGAGATCGGCGACGTTCTGCTGAGTATCAACAACAACAACATCAGCAAAATGGGCTTTGGGGCAGCCATGAAGCTGCTACAGAAAGGTCCCAAGCCGCTTCTTCTTATGTTCCAGCGTCCGCGAACGTCTCTGTCAATGACGACTAGGAGCTGCAACCTGTAGTCCTCGTCCGCCGTGTTAAGTAAAACAAGTTTTGGGCCACATGCACAGCAAAGGTCTGCAGACGAGGATGCAGTTTGGTTAGAAGCTTCTGTGAGATCTTCACCCCGTACGGACCTGTTGGGGAATTTTTTTTTCATTGCGTTCATCGTCAGCATTGGCCGCCTTGAAATATTTTGAATATTGGTTTTGTTATAAAGAAAAGTCAAGCTTTCATGTTACGATCTTTTCATCATTTTTACGAAAGAAGAGTGTGTGTACAGTGAGAGTGCTGGTTGTTGCTCTTTGAGTGCAAAATGGACGTTGCTCTTGCAGAGCAAAATGGAATTGAATTGATCGTTAGCTATCCGAAAAACTGTTTTACAAAATGAGAATGCAAACTAAATTGTCGAATCCCTTTACTCCTTCTTTTCCTGCCGGAGGTGTGCAAGGATGACGTCGATATCATCGGAGTGGTCCGTGACAAAGTAGCGGCCCTCGCGTTCCACCACCTCGCCCTTCTCGTTGAAGAAAATGAGCGTGGGCACCGTCTTGACGCCAAACTTCTCGCATAGCTCGAGCTTAAGGTCACGGCGAGCGTAAAGCAGCGCAATCCACGGCATCTCCTCGTAGTACTCAGTGAACTTGGCCTCTTCCTTGTCCGAAGAAACGAAAACGATCTCGAAATCTTCGTGGCCAGCTCCCTTGATGTCGTTGTAGACCACGTCCAGTAGCGGCGTGAACTTTCGGCACGGCGGGCAGTAGTGGCCGCTGAAGTACAGTCCGACGACTTTCTTGCCGGCCAGCGCCTGTGACGTAGGCACCACCTCGCCGCTCTTGAGCATCAGCTCGTTCTGTAGCAGAGCCTCCATTGTTATATGTGGATGTCGTGAGCACTGTGGCGTCGATGTGGGAATGAGACTCTTTGCGGGTTTTCGGAAGAGAGAAAATAAAAAATTGGCGGGACCTAACACAATTGGATAAAATTGGTATGACAAAGACTGGAAATGATATGGGATTGGGTGATACTTCTGATAGATCTGGATGAGAGGTTTGATTGGTTGAAACGTGATTGCAAATCAAACGGCCGATGACGCGATATGGCTACATTTGATATCCGAGGCCAGAATTCGTTTATGATAGCAAGTTGCAAGCCTTCACTTACTTCGCTACAACTGCTTCCTACACGCTACTCATTAATCATTAAAAAGTGGACGTCGCTGCGTCTTGAGCTCGATCTCGCTGTCTGTTGCTGCATCTGATCTCCTCCTTCCTCTTCATCTCTCTCCACTCAATTCCTCCATCTGTAGCCTCGCACACGGTTCCGTTGCCATGTATTAGCGGCAGGCTGCACTGAAGAACCCCCACACTACTTTAGCAGTAGTAGAATCCGCCAAACGGGCGTCCAAACAGGCAGCTCCCGCCGTAGATGGAGCGGCCCCAACGGTTCCAATAGCCGAGCGGGTAGCGCCAGCCGTAGCGGAATCGACCAAAGTGCGGGAACGAGTAGCGCCAGCGGTACGTGATTCCACCCGTTGGGATGAAGCCGCCTCCACCCATAAACTGCTCCAATTGCTCCTTGGTCGACGCCACAGGCTCCTTGTCACCGAGAAGCGTCACTCCAGGCGGCAGTTGCTCCGTGGGGGCATCCTCCGTGGCCGGAGCTGCAGGGACATCATCGGCGTGGGCGACGCTCAGCATAGCGACCAGCACCACCAATAGAAGGACGGCGAAACGCTTGATCATGGCGACTAGAGCTTTCGAGGCTGGTTGGTCTTCGTTGAAGTCTTCACAGCTGAGCAAATAGCGGAATGGCAGTCACGGATTCAAAGTTGCGGGCACTAGTAGCTTTCCTTCAAGAACTTGCGTCAGCATTTTCGACGATTCAGTTGGGGAAAAGTCTGCTCTTGGTCCATAGCAATTTCCTGGGACCTGCCGAGGAAAGAGAACTGTTGCCAGCGCGCTGCTGAATAATACTGGCGTGCCGCTATACCTCGTCGCAGACAATTGTTGAGAATTTCTTTTTGATAATTCCGTGCTACAACCTCCCAAGTTATGCCATGCCTCACACAACACACAGTAGCGGAGCGATAAATGAACCAAATCGATGAATTCCAGCCTCGCTCAAACGCGCTCGGGTGGATATCCGATGCGCTCTCGAGCCTAATGCTCCTCCTCCGCTGCGTGGTACAGTGTACATGTTGCTGGTAGCTAGCAGGCTATTTTTTTTTTAATGTCGAGCGCTTGATACAGTATGCGTTTTCAGCAAACTCCTTTCGCAGGTGTGATCTTGGCTGGTGCTAAGTGCAGACTTCAAATCTGTAGGCCATTCGCTTGGCAGGAGTTCAATTCTCCCTCGCTTGCGCCTTTTATCCTAAAACATCTACGACTTGTAAGAGGGCAGTTACAAAAATGCAAGTGGCAAATGAAGTCAAAGTCAAGAGGCCACAGGCAACAGCTATGTCACGTTGACATTGCAAACCAGAGGTTTCCGCGGCCAAAGTGCAGCACTGCGCGCTTCTTCAATGATGAGAGTTCGTGTAATCAAAAACGGCATCCAAGCCTCTTGCTTAAGCCGTTTCCTTGGCGGGCTGCCATTGGCCAGCCACCACGTCAGGCGCCCTCCACCGACTTTCCTGGGCATCAAACGGACGGCTGCGCAGTTCTCAATAGATTCGCGAGCGATTAGCAAGATCCCTCCTCGCGATTCCCCGCCAAGTATGTCGCGCCAGCTCCAGCCCGAGCAGTTGCTGACGCCCGTACCGTCCGACATTGCAGTTAGCGACGCTATCGCGCCGTTGCCCATCACGGAAATTGCCCAAGCCGCCGGAATTGTAAGCTAGTCTTCAAGATACTTTTAGCCACAGCGGGGACTGGAGCTCGTTAGTAACAGAGACCTTGTGCGTTGCTATTGCTGTTATTTGCTTGCTGTAGTTACCCATAGAGGTGGTGCCGTATGGCTCGACCAAGGCAAAGATCTCTCTGGACGTGCGTGACCGCCTCAAGGAACAGCCCAATGGGAACTATGTCGTAGTCACAGGTATCACCCCCACGCCCCTAGGTGAAGGCAAGAGCACTACCACGATCGGGTACGTTGAGAGTCTTGAACTGCAAAGAGTTAGCAAGAATTAATAATGTTTATATTCAGACTGTGCCAAGCTCTGGGTGCCCACCTCAACAAGAAGGCATTCGCTTGCATCCGTCAACCCTCTCAGGGTCCGACGTTCGGAGTCAAGGGTGGTGCTGCCGGTGGAGGCTACGCACAGGTCATCCCTATGGACGAGTTCAACCTGTACGTGTCATTTTTTTATTGTCGCAGTGGAGCTACAGCTCTGACAATCGCTTGTGGACTGCAGCCACCTGACGGGAGATATCCACGCTATCACAGCTGCCAACAACTTGGTAAGCTCCAATAACTTGACTGTATCGTGACAATATAACGAACTAATTTGGTGTCTTGTGTAGTTGGCTGCTGCTATTGACACTCGCATGTTCCATGAGAACGCACAGAGTGACAAAGCGCTGTTCCGTCGTCTGTGTCCGACAGCTAAGGACGGCTCCCGAAAGTTCTCTCCAGTCATGCTCAAGCGTCTTCAGAAACTGGGCATCACCAAAGTGTCGCCCGACGATCTAACAGACGAGGAAATCCACAAGTTCGCGCGTCTAGACATCGACCCCGACACGATCACGTGGCAACGTGTGTTGGATACATGCGACCGATTCCTCCGTCAAGTTGTTGTGGGTGCCGGACCCGCCGAGAAGGGTCAGACACGCACAACTGGCTTTGATATCACCGTAGCTAGCGAGATCATGGCCATCTTGGCGCTTACGACGACTCTGGCAGACATGCGTGAGCGTCTGGGACGCATTGTCATCGGCATGAGTCGCAGTGGTGAGCCAGTGACAGCTGACGATCTCGGTGTTGGTGGCGCTCTGGCTGTGCTTATGAAAGATGCCATTCTCCCCACTCTCATGCAGACCGTGGAAGGAACCCCCGTCTTCGTGCACGCTGGACCGTTCGCTAATATCGCTCACGGCAACTCGTCTATTATCGCGGACCAGATTGCACTGAAATTGGCAGGTGAAGATGGCTTCGTGGTCACCGAGTGTGGCTTTGGTGCCGATATCGGCATGGAAAAGTTCTTCAACATCAAGTGTCGTACCAGTGGCCTGACCCCGCAGTGTGTGGTGCTTGTCTCCACTATACGCGCACTCAAGATGCACGGTGGTGGCCCCAATGTGGTCGCCGGCCAACCGGTAAGTTTCTGAGTACTTTTGACAAGATGCGTAGATTACTTACAATACTTTTTTTGTAGCTGCACCCGGTATATGTCGACGAGAACTTGGACATGTTGGAGAATGGTTGCGCTAATATGCAACACCATATTCGCAACGCTCTGAAGTTCGGTGTGGCTGTCGTTGTGGCTGTGAATGTGTTCGCCACGGACTCGCCTCGTGAAGTGGAGCTTGTGAAGCAGAAGGCTCTGGAGGCTGGAGCCACTGCTGCGGTGGAGAGCACGCACTGGTCTGAAGGTGGCAAGGGAGCCAAGAACTTGGGACGCGCTGTTGTGTCTTCATGCGAGAAGATGCGTGCGCAGGGCAGTCCGTTCAAGTTCCTGTACCCATTGGAGTTCAGCATCCCCGAGAAGTTCGAAGTCATCTGCAGTACGTTTGATGGTTCAATAGCTGGAATTTTAGAGATCGTAGCTGACTTTGGTGGTGATTTTTGTGATTTGCAGAGGAGATTTACGGTGCTAACGGCGTCGAGTTTAGCGAGGAAGCCAAGAAGAAACTGGCAGTCTACTCGCAGCGAGGTTACGGCAAGTTGCCTGTGTGTTGTGCTAAGACTCACCTGAGTTTGAGCACGGACCCGAAGGCGAAGGGTGTGCCCACGGGTTTCTCTGTCACTGTGCGTGACATCCGCGCGTCTGTAGGGGCTGGCTTCGTCTACCTGCTGTGTGGTGACATGATGACAGTCCCCGCCCTCCCCACTCGTCCAGGCTTCTACGACGTCGACCTGGACACCGAGACTGGCAAAGTGATTGGTCTGTTCTAAGGAAAAGCGGACAGCGTCCGACGACGAGCAAAGGGCGGCTTGTCACGATTGCACGCCCCCCTTTCCTCTCGATAGGTACCTAGAGCCACCCTGGTAACTGCTCGTAGAACTCAATTCATACCACACCCTGTGCCTTTGCTGTTGTGTCCATGAAGTGTATATATTGTCTGGGACTCTGGTACCATGGAGTCCGGTCTAGCTCGTCTCTGTTGGAGCTGCTTCCTCGGGTTTCCCCTCTGAGCGATTGTTGAGGAAAGTTTGCCAGTGGTAAAACTGTTGGCCGTGCACTAACGTCATGAAATCCTCCCGCGCGATCATCTGGCGGAAGCGTTCATCGTCCAGCATATCCAGAAAGGCCAGACAGTGCGGGTACACAATGTACTTGGCGTACTGCGGTTGTTTCCAGTACTTGAGGTACTGTAGGTAGTTCATGAAGGCGGGGTTCTCGAAGTACCGATTGATGGCCAGAACTGAAGATGAGTGTTAGAGAATCAAGGTAGAGGAGGCGAAGGAGGAGAAAGACGTACAGTTGAGGTACGCAGGGCTGGCCAGGCACTGGATGAACTCCAGCTCCATCTGGAAGCGGATGTCATTCGATGGCACCTCCATCGTTGAAATCGAGTGCAAAATGATAATCGAACTTAATCGAATCAAGCTGGGGCAAATCGGACGTGTCAATGCCTAAAGTTTAGCTAAAACCCAGCCAATCAAATCGCACAAAAGTCTACCGGAAATACTCAGTGGTTTACGTGTACGATATCGATGTGGGCTCAGTGATTGCTGTCTTTTTTGGAAGACAGAAATCGTGTCGAGCAAGCAGCAATACAAGAACAAGAGATCAAGGTGACCAGCAAACGTTTGCATCTCCGTAAAAGCTTACGCTAGCGCGAACCCATGCTTCTATTGTGAGGACTAATTTTTACGACCTGGTTGATCTGTACTCCTCTATCTGCCGCGCTCTGCGCTTCGACCTGCGGCAAACGTGCAACTGAGAGTCTACCGCGGGAGCAGCGCGAATACGTGCAACGCCTCCTCCTATACTACACTGGACCAGATTAATTAGTCATTGTTATTGTGTTATGCTAAGTCTATGCTGCATAGGTACGACGGAATATACCAGCACATGCTACGCTTCCATTTTAACCGTGGAACTAAAGCTTCTGTCTCGCTGCTATTGATGTTACTGGCTCATATTTGCCTGGGGGCACGTCGACGACACGTTTACACTACAGCATTTTCATGACATGTTCAAGACCAATATTTAGTAAATCCCGGGTGAAAAACCAATCAACACTCGACAAAGCGGGAGCCACCCCGCTGGAACTTATAGCCAAGTGTATTGTATCGGGTAAATCGTAGAATGAGTCTCGAGTCTGATGGTAACCAGATCGAGCTCAATTATCAGCTCCTTTCTAAGGCGTCCCTCAGAAAGCTCGCTGGGAAAGTTATAAGAAAGATGATATGTAGTTGGCCTGGTTCCTAATATAAAACCCGGGTCGGACCTTACTAGCCCGACTGGGAAAACACGCATACCCATCGCCTGAAGATGGCAAAGCTGCCAGGCGCCCTTGGGTCGTCTCCGTTGAACTATGAGGGAAACCAAGGTGAAATACCTAGGATTCACTACACAGCCCCCGAAGCTTGGTTTCCCCACTACCCCTCCGCTCGACTTGCGAAGGTTGTGGCGATATCACCCAGAGCGCATGACCAACGGCTGGCAAGCGTCTGACGCTTACAACCGGACTGGTTTCTTGAGGCGCTGACTGGGTGCTCGAGATCTCTGCTGACTGCGGACACGCGGAACTTGGCCCACGGTGGCTGTCATCATTGATCGAGTTCGACGACCTAGAGGAAGCTGAGGATCTTGGTCCTCGGCACCGATGTGCCCTTGTGTCCTCATCCAAAGTACGCTGAACTGTTTGCTGGACACTTCGAGGTTGTACCTCATCCGCGTCGTCGCTGTCACGCCGGACGGTTTCTCCATCGGGGTGACTTCGTTTCTTCCTGCCGCGAGGGCGGCCACGAGGCTTCTTGCCCTTCGCTGAATCAGGAGGTGTAGACGCCGTGCTGCCGTCCTCACGATCTATCTTCTTCCAGTGATCCGTGAGACGAGGGTCTTCAGCAGTGTCCACATATCTCTTCAATAAAATCTTGATGTCCTTATTCAAAACTTGCATTGGTTCGTAAGAGTCTTCGATCGACTGTAGGCCCTTCCAGCTTACTAAAATATCAAAGTCCTTCGTAGCATTATTCCACTTGTGGCCCTTCAGCTCCTTAACTGCTAAGATGATTCCTTGAGCAGCTACGTGTTCGAGTAGCTCATCCGTGACATTTAAGCTGTCGTCTGCGTACATCTTTAACCGTGAAGGGTGCACATCATGTTCTTCTCCTGTAATCAGGTGCTCTACACGAAAGGAGTGGGAATCGGCCCGAGTCACTCGATACGGTCCAACCCAATTCACTTGGAGTTTGTTTCCACGTTTCTCATCCGTTCGGGATCGCAAGACGTAATCTCCAACGTGAAAGTTTACGAGATTCTCTCCTCGTTCGCGCTTCTTGTTCAAAAGTCTTTGCTTCAGTCTTTTATCTTCAACCACCTCATGCATCTTCTGTAAGCTGCTTCTCAACCGATTTAGGTAGTCGTCTATCTGCTCGCTCTGTGGAATCTGCTGTAACTTGTTTTTCACTGGTAGATAAAATTCACAGAGGGGTGTAGGCCGTGGCAGTCCAGTGAACAGCTCAACTGGCGCTCGATTCCCAAGAGATGGGAGTGCTGTATGGTTCAAATTGGCTTGCACCACCGGAACCAAGTAGACCCAGTCTTTGTATCCAATTTTGTATGTTAAAATCATTGCTCTCACCACTTGTAGTACATCCCGGTTCACACGTTCAGCTGATCCGTTAACCCACGGACTATACGCAAGTGTGAATGACTGCTTCGACCGGAGACGGCGACTCAGCTCGGCGACAATCTCGTTCTTGAAATGGGTTCCACAATCAGACACCCACTCAGGAGGAACACCGAATCGTGAGTGCCAATCCAGTAAAGCTTCAACCACAACACTACTTTCGGCTGAGTCTGCAACAACCAATTCGCAGTAATGTGTGGCGTGATCCTTCATAACCAAAAGATATTTGCTGCCTCCAAAGCTTTCACCCATGTAAAGAAAGTCAAAATGAAGAACACCATTACGTGTACGACACTCAATCACCTCGCTCCACGGACGTGGGATAATCTTTCCCCCTCTTGAATGCAGACAAAGCAGACACTTCTTAACGAAATTTGCGACCACATCTGAGAGGTGCTCGATAGCGAAAAGCCGTCCCAGGTGTGCAATCATGGCTTGTTGGCCGCGGTGCCCTTGAGCGCCACAGTGCGCAATGATGCACAGCCGCTGAAGTAACTCTTTTTCTTCATATGGGATCCACAGCTTGTCCTCTAGGGTCACGAGACCATCATCATTTCGATTAGCGTGAACAGGAGCCGAGTTCTTGGCTTGTATTTCCTTGAGTTCCACCAGTGTAGGCCACACAAAACGATCATCATCCAGAGGGCGCAAAGCAGACACAGTCTCAGTCCTTTGGCTTGGGCGAGCCCGAGCAACCTTCAGTCGTTTCACAGTTGGCGAATGGCTACCAGCCCAGCGGGAAATCATATCGGCCCATACATTATCAGATCCCGGTACATGCTCCACTACATACTGGTAGTTCATTAGCTTCATGGACCATCTTAAAAGTTTCCCTTTAATATGTTTCTTGATCGAAACGTCCGGTGCGAAGATGTGAATCAGGTTACGATGATCACAATACATCCGAAAGGGTTTTGGCCTTAGTAGCAAGTAATCCAGTTTATCACAGGCAACGATAATGGGGAATGCCTCTTTCTCGATGACAGTCCAGTTTAGCTGGCTACCGGCAAACGTTCCACTTGTGCAGTGAATGAGCCGATGTTGTTGCTCTGTAGCAGGCTTCTGAGGGTCGAAGTCCACAACTTGAGTCACAATAACGGCGTATCCAACGTTCGAGGCATCCGTGAAGAGACATGTGGTAGCGTTGTCATCAGGAAAATCGAGAGTAGCAGCTTTGGCGAGCGAATCCTTAATCCGGTCAAATGCCACTCGTTCATCACTGCTCAGCTCAATGTTAATGCCAGCAGCCGCCCTCTTGGTCCTCTTGGTTTTCGTGAGAGCCGCGTCAAGTTTTTGTTGTAAAGGGGCAATCTGCCTTGCAAAATCAATAATGCTTTGACGCATCCAATTGACCGCACAGACAAATTGCTGAAGCTCTCCGGCAGTACGTGGGTATGGCAAAGCACGTAGCGAGTCAATTCGGTTTGGGTCATGTCTGATGCCTTCACCACTTATGATCCTGCCGCACCACTTGATCTCAGTCTGGTACAAGCTCGTTTTCTTTGCACTCAGCTTTAAGCCAAAGTGGTCCATTAGTGACAGCATTTCTTCCAACTTGACCAAATATACATCAATATCCTTGGCATAAAGGAGTAAGTCGTCGATCCAAATCAGTAAATGGTCGTATAGTAGACTGGCAAAGCAATTCTCCATGGTCTTCTGAAAGAATATCGCAGCATCACTACTACCCTGAGGCACTCTGCGAGGGGTAAAAACCTTCTCATCGGTCATGTATGAAAGCAATTCTTGACACATTAGAGCCAACGGAAGCTGCCAAAAGCCCTTCAAAAAATCAAAGAGTCCGAAATGTTTCATTCCCTTCGCGTTCTCCATCACCACGGATAAAATCGGCATAACTGCTGCCATGACTTCAGTCAATGCGTTCAACTCACGATAGTCTGTGGTTTGCCGAAGATCCATAAGGTCCGCTGACTTCTTGACAGGAAGAACGGGACTCGCCCATCGACTTTCCGAATTCTCGTAAACGAGTCCTAGTTTTACCAAACGAGAGTTGAAATCGTGAAGAAATTTGCGAATGTGAGGGGGATACCGTCGAGGCTTACACCTTGTTGGACGAGCCCCTTCCCGTAGTCGTATCTCCAGAGGTGGCACACGTGCTGGTGGGTCATCCTGCAGAGTCAAACGCCATACATCGTAGACATGGATGATAGTACGAAATCGATCGAGCTTGTCTGCTGGGAATCCGTTCTCGACTGCTTGCTCAACCAACCGTTCAACTGCAGCAAATACGTCCTCATTCTCAGATTGAGGTTCTCCAATTCGGACCGGAGATTCGTCGGCTTCCAGTTCAACAGGATCGCCACTTGTTTCATCCACATTTAGGTCAGCTAGTTGCTCCAATTGACGCTCCACATCAATCCCAAGCATTCTTAGTACATCATTGCCAAGTATGAACTCGTCGTCATCCATATCGACAATCAACACATCCACAGCCTTCATCGGTTTAACCTGCCCAGCCGCAATGCGAATCATTAAATGGAGTTTGGCCTTCTTATCGGCAGTCACCAACATAGACCCAAACGTCTGGTTCTGAACAGGGACAGTAAGTTCTTCAGCTTGAACACTTGGGTCCAGAGCCCGGAGTTGATTCCAGTGAGAGCGGCCCATCACGGTATGGTCAGAGCCACTGTCAGCGCAGTACGGAATCTCCAGTACTCCATTCACCATAACAGCACGAGA